CTCCTTGACTATAGGTTTTCACCACAGTTACATAACGGCGGGCCTCCTTGACTAAAGGTTCTCACCACAGTTACATACCGGCGAGCCTCCTTGAATATAGGTTCTCACCACAGTTACATACCGACGGGCCTCCCTGACTAAAGGTTCTCACCACAGTTACATACCGGCGAGCCTCCTGGACTATTGGTTCTCACCACAGTTACATACCGGCGAGCCTCCTTGACTATAGGTTCGTCGAAGCATTGATTGCTGTAATACGAAGTCCCTAAAACTGTATTGTTTAAGATTCTTTCTGGTGATAAATGCAAAATATCGTGAGTATCCTTGTACTATTGTCTACTGACTACTTGTTACATCTTGTCCAGCACAAGTAAAGTCCATAAGTTGGTTACATTCCAGGTGATTAATTATTCAATGATTGATGTCATTCGTAGCAATATGATATATAGTTTAGTTGGAAGGAACAATGCTGTGAAGTGTGCGATAGTAGGCTTTCATACATTATATCTAGCTCAGCACTTTGTCAATCAGTGTTATTTTTTTGATGAAACGGATTTAATCGATATTTCTTGAGATAATGATTTGTTAATGATTTTTTTAAGTGAAAGGACAGTTCTTTTCAGCATTTATTGCAAACAATTACATATACGAACAAAGATATCAAAAACATTTCTGAACAAGACATCATTGGAAAAGTTTAATAGTTCCAATTGCTTAGATAGTCTTTGATAATGTATATCATCGACTTTTGCAAGACAATCTTTCGCGAACATTCAAACGAGGATTATTTCTTCTTATTGTTTCTTTCACTTATGAATGTACTGATGTCTTTTTTCATTCGACAGAAGTCATCAAGAGAATTTGAGTCAAAATCGGGAAATCCGGTTTATAAAAACAAGACAACAAAAACGTGAGTTTGTTGTACAAAATCAACAACATTTTAACGCTGTGAAGAATGTTTTGCTCAGGTTACTGACGCAAATCCTAGAAAATGTTCTCTTCGTAAAGGCATTTGGATTTGTCTCTTGAGTTCATGAGTTTTCGTTCATCAACGATTGCGTTTGTCAAATCAAAGAATGAATGTCTGACAAAAACGGTCAAAGACCACATAGCACAGCGTAGATTAATGTGTATCTAATAGAAAACGTATTTTATTAATCAACAGAACGCGTCTATCAATACAATGGTACATAGAAACAACAAGTCATTCAACTGTTCCTTCAGCCTGCAGCAACATATACAACATGATAATGATAATGTATATCAAATATAATACATTTCTGAATATTACCCACAAGCTATATTAATATTAGTTAACATCATAATATATGACGTTATAGTATGTGTACGTGACATTATAGCAAACGATATCATAGTATATGACGTTATAGTATGTGTACATGACA